GGGGGGGGGGGGGGGGGGGGGGGGGGGGGGGGGGGGGGGGGGGGGGGGGGGGGGATTGTGGTAGAGGTAGTGGTGGGGCGGTTTCAAATACTATTTTTTTTAAAAAAGTATTTATGAAAAATAATTTTTAAAAATACTTTTAAAAAGTCACTCCAAACACACCCTTATGGCCTATTTTTGCTATTAAATTTAGGGTGTTAATATTAGCCATTAGATTAACCTTAAAGTAAGATTTAAAGTGATCTCAACCGCGAATAACAAAAATCATTTTGTTTATTTTTTAAATTTGAATTATAAATTACTTTATTATATAGATAAAAAAAAATTATTGAATACAAAATTTTCAAAAGTCAATGATATATAAACAAAAAAATGATCATTTTATTGTTAATATCTTCAAAGATATCTTTATATATATATAATCAAGTTATCATTCATCCATTAATATCCATTCAGTTATGTAATGGAATTCTCTCAATCTTTGTTTTTAATTTATCAAACAAAAGCAAGTAAGTTATAGAAAAAGAAAAAAAGTTGTGGAGAAATAAAGACAGCAAGTCTCAGGAAAATAAAAATTATTTGTAGACTAATTTCAAGTAATTAAATGAAGAACTTAAATCCCAAAAACTCATAAATATGCAATCAAAGTCAAAAGAAGAAAGTCTCAAAACTATAAAACCAACCAAATATGTAAGTATAGATCAATCACAACTCTCATACTCATAAAATATTGTTGAAGATAAAAGGTATATTTGAATAATATTCAAATTTATATATCTCAATACATATAAAAAAGTTTAAAAAAAAAATTTTGAGGGTGGACACTATCCCCTTACTATGGGCGGCATGACTTAAATATGCACAATCTTAGTCTTACATGCAAAGAAGCTAATTTCTCTCCTTTACTTGATTGCTGAATTAATCGATCGTCTACTTTCTTCAATACCTTCTGTTCTTACTTTGTAGGGTCCTATTGTCAAGCAATACCCATTGAGGCTACGCCTTATAACTCTTCAGGCCTTCTTTAGCTGCATTCAATCTGCACTTTGGGTTGTTGCTGTGGATAGGAAAAAGTCATCATGGAAGCTTGGATGGGATGTTCATCTTCTTTCTGTGGCTTATTGTGTAAGTTAACCAACCAATAATATGATGCCCTAGATTCGCAGCTAAAATTGATCGTGGTACATTTGGGAAGTGTTTGGTTCGAGTACAACGTGAAAAAAATTGACATCTTTATATGAACTTACATTCGACAAAAAATGGCATGTAGGGTGTTGTCGTGGGTGGAATTTCTTACGTGGTACGACTTTGGGTTATAGAGAAGAAAGGGCCTGTCTTCGTAGCAATATTCAATCCATTGATACTTATTATAACAGCCATCTTCTCAGCTTTTCTGTGGAGAGAAATCATTCACTGGGGAAGGTTCACTTCACATCCTTATCATTATCAATATTATTGTATATTTCCTATGCAATCTCTTTTGTTTGTGTGTGTGTGTGTGTCAAAAGAAAAGGGAAGGTTTGACAAAAACGTTTCACTTGACATTGATGATGAGGATTATGTTTCCCCCCTTCCCCCTTTTTTTGTATTGCAGTGTTTGTGGTGCTATAATGTTGGTAGTTGGACTCTACTGCGTCTTGTGGGGGAAGCATAAAGAAGAAAAATATGCAAAAAAGCATCAGATACCAGAAAGCAAAGAAGAAGTGCGGATCACGAATGAGTAATTGACTTTGTGCAAAGATAAATGCTACATAGACTTAAAAACTAGACTTGATAATCTTAACCATTGAATAGGTAGTGATTCCCAATATATGCTGGAATCCATAGTGAAATTAATGGTTAAAATTATCAAATCTAATTTTTAAGTCTATTTTTTAAATCCATGTAACATTACTTTTGTGCAAATGGCTTCAACCAGAAACGGAGTCGGGAATTCACTTTCGAGAATTGTTAGTCATATAAACCTTTTTTTGTTTTTGGTTGCACAAAAGAACCTATTACTACTAACTTCGACTTTAATCGATCCACACTGTAGCGATTTAAACCATGGCTAAGACTAGACAAGAAGTTCGCAGCTCATGGGCTGGCCTATTGGTCTTTGACACCTAACCCATAGTGTGGATTTGGTTAGAAATTTCACATGACGCCTTTTCTATCAGCAGCCTCGCAAGGTGACCCTTGACTCTAATTTGTAAAATTCTAATTGTGGTTCGTTTAAAGATTCATTAGGATCGGCCCGATAGGTAGCCGTTAAAGACTTATTTAGGTCTGTCCAGCGACAAAATTATAGGGCAGCCTTTTTTAAAATGGCCCGATAAATTGATTAGCCAACGGCCCAGAGGCCTAGCTGGCCAACCCTTAATAGTGTCAGCACTAAAACCACCTCATTTTTTTAGGGAGTTTGTCGGGCTTTATGGTGGGTGTGAAATGAATTTTCTTGTCCACACACACATTATGGGCTGGACTAGTGGACTGGCCCATTTTCAGTAGAAAGGTTACCCTATTGAGTTGTCGACTCTCGACACTATCATTCTTATTTCTTGAAAATTCTATTTAAATTCATGATAAATACCATAAAATTGAAAATTTTGAGGGACCAATGGCATTATTCAAGGGGGTTTATTCTTTAAATGTTGGACTTGTGTGTCATTAGGCATTCTATTTTGATGCAATGACATTATTAGTCTCTAGCAATTACATTTCCTACATTTAGTTATGAGAATTTCCATATCTATCAGCTGATCACTTAACACAAGAAAGGAATAGTATCTAGCGATTACTTTAAAGTCACGAGTTTAAAACTAGTATTCTCCCTTCTTGTAATAGTGTCACAATTTGTCATTCTACCATGCACAATCTACAATAAACAAAAATTGCAGCTTCCTAGAAAATTTTGTGGATCCGGAAATTTAATTTTGATTATTTTTTAACATTATTACGTTAAACAAACACCAAAAAATTAAAATTTTTTAATCGTATTGTATTGGTCGACACAAGTCCAAACAAAAAATTTTGGGCTTCATAAGTTGAATTATAGTTGCCCAATCAGGGCTGGCCCGACATGAATTGAGGCCCTAGGCGAGAATTTAAAATTGAGCCCTAGACAATTTAATATAAAATTTGACTTCTTATAGTTTTCTATTTTTATCTCTATTTTATGCTTTTTACATCAAAATTCATTATTTTTTTGCTGACATATTTGAGATTAAAAAAATTCTTTTGAATAAAATAAAAATTTAAGGATACAAATAATTAAACTGTATAAGAATTCTTATTTTATGAAGTTAAAGAAAAAGTAAACATTAATATAGATAAATGATAAAAATGTGGAACTTTTAATTGTATAAATGAGCTTTCTTTATCTATCAAATCACACAATCACTAACTTATTCTTAATTTTGAAAAAAAATAAAAATAAAAAGACAGTATGTACACACAGAGAAAGCTACCTTATTTTTAATTTTGAAGATAATAGCACATCAATATAACAGGAGAGACGGCAGGTATGGTGTAAGCTGATTAAATATAGTACTCCTATATTAGTTCAACATTTAGGGTGGGGGGAAGAGGGGGAGGCATTGACAGTAAAAAGTTGCTTTGACTTTAATGGAATTAATGATTCATTTTCTATATTTGTTTTAAGAATTAATTTCACATCTCTTCAATGAATTTTATATATGTTCAATATTATATGCCTTTATTTGACAATCGGGCCCTTATAATGTGGGGCCCTACACGGCCCGCTTCTATTGCCTTGCCTTAGGCTGGGCGTGCGCCCAATCACGTATTAGTCAGTAAATTAAGTGTGAAATACTTGAAAAGTTTATACTATAAACCTTCATTATATAACCTATTCAAACCGTAAAATATTGTATAATGCAAAATAAGAGTTTTACACCGGAGAAAATACTAAGGTACCAAAAAATTATTTTTTAATATCATACTGAAAAGTAGGAAAAAAAAATGATATAAATACCTCAAAAATAGTGAGTAAAAATATTATCCATTTTTTTTCTTTTTTGGGTAGCGTATTGAAAGGTGAAAAAAGATTTTGAAAATCATAGTCAAATTGGTTGAATCCAATTGATGAGTTGTGTCAAATGTTAGTTGCAGAATTGCATGAGTTTTGAGATCTCTCTAAGTTGACGTAGTTGCTTTTTTTTAGGTTAATCTAATTAGACTCTATGAGTACGACCGCCTAACCAATTCGAGATTCTTTTTTCTAACTTTGTAGGTAGGAATAGAAAGAAGTTTTTGTAATTGTTTATTAAGCAATTCTGTTTCTTAACCTAATTAATTATAATTATTACATTGGAAATGAATCCAAATAAGTATTAAAACTCACATTTAATTGATTAAGTCAATATTTTAGATCTAAATAATATTTTTTTGATGTTTATCTGGTACGTTCACTCCTTTTATCATGTACAAGGAAAGTTTCTAAATGTAAATGTCCATAAACATGTTCAAGGTCTCAAAAATTAATTCGTCTAAATAAAAATACAAAAAAGAATGCACGAAAACTCATTCCAGACAAAAAAAAAAATAGGTGTAATTAATTTTCTACTTAATAAAAAAAAAAATTCATTCCAAACGATATTATTAGAATATAGTTGGCTAAGTAGTGTAAAACATTTTATTTAGAGGTCGGAGTGTTTTCTAAGTCATACAAAGTCTAATGTAATCACCTAGCAAACAAGGCAGTTAATCACAAGAAATGTCTATTGATCGGGAGTTTGTCTACCAATTTATCATATCTCATCTACGTCGTGTTTGGTTAATGGTTGAGATGATGAGGTATAGATCTGTTTTGTTGATATCAATCCTTTGTTTCAATGGAAGTATGATATCATATGAAAATGACAGAAACACCCTTGTACTTAATCTCATCCAAATCTTGTCCAAGGAACACTAATCATTCTCAATCTCAATACTAATCAAGATTGATGTTTTACCACTTATGACATGGGAATGGTTTGCAACGTATATATAGCGTTTTTTGTCAGATAATATCTGTATGTATGTATGTATGTGTGTGTTTGTCTTACTTTTGGATTGCGGGCGTGTTAAAATTTAATTGTACTTAAAATTCAAACACGTACGATCTTACCTATTCGAACGAGTGTGAGGTTTTAATATCGTGATTGTTCAGGCAATTATAGCGAAGCGTAAGATTAATTATGAGTTATTTTCTATGTCTTAAGGTTTAAAAATTTTAAGTAATTTTCCAACTAATAATATAATGAACTAAAACGTAAAAAAGACAACTGGAATGCAAAATGGTTAGTAGACTAAGTTTGGAAGGTAAAACAAGTATTGTACTCAACATTAAATGAAAGAAGTAAAAGATCACCAAAGTGATAGGTTAGACGAAAAATAAAGTTATTCGGAAGTTAAAAAAAGGGTAAGTATAAGGTAGAGTAACTATAAATAGAGTTTGTTATATTTGATCATAAATTCTTTATTTATAGGGATGACATTTAACTGTTAAAGTTATCTTTTATGGTCATGACTGTAATTATGACATTTCTCTCGAGATGAATAAACGTGTGTTGAACCTTCTCCAACTGACAACTCATTATGTCACGTTTCTTCACTTCCAAGAATTCTTAAAGTTCCACTTCCCTAACCTATTTGGCAAATATGGACTCTCACAAATTCATTCATAATCGTTGAATCTCTTCCACGTATCACCCTTTGATTTTACTATTTTTGGGTGTAAACAATATGATATCAAGAGATATGCATGCATGCATGGTCTACAAAATTCCAGAAATTTAAAAAAAAAAAAAAAAAAAAGTAGTGGGTTAGCTAGAAGTAAAAAAGAATACAAAAGAGAGGGACAAACCATGTTTATGTCATTCCACAGACAGGCATCGGCCAGATCTTCATAGAAAACTACCTGCTCTTTGTGCCTATCTTCGTTGTGATGTCAGGTGGCTGCTAAGTGTAAGTGTTATTCTGGACAATGCCATGTAATCGGACCTTGTTGTATGTTTTATATTCAACCATATCCAAGATTAATTATTTTTTGAAGAGATATTGTCTTACAATCAAAATCTAAGGGGATGGATAGAGTATGATTCGATTCCATGTCAGACAACATTCCTCACCATTAAACTTAGATCGATCTCGGGTGCCTTTTGGGGGATGGATGCAAAATATTTTTGCTATTAAAAAAAATAATTGTTAATTTGCTAAACCAAAAGCACCAGTTGGGTCAAGGTTCAGTAATGGGTACAAAGTAATTAGGTATTAAATGATGTTTTTTACCAACTAATTAATCTTCCTCTTCAATTAAAATAAGCCACAAGCAATCAATTATGGGATAATAATAAAAGTTATTGGAACGTTTGTGTGAAGTCACAGAAGGCCATGATTTTTGCAAAGAATGGCAATAAAAAAAAAATTTGAATATTTCAGGAGGGGAGGTTATAAGTTACAAGAGTTATTTTCTTACAATTATTTTTCGTATTTCTTTTGGAGGCAATTTTCATGCTAATGTTGTTGTATTATAATTTTGTCATCATAGATTTGAATAACGAAAACAGTCTATTTATATTAGAAAATAAAGATGTATATATCTAAAATCGGTCTAAACTCTTCAAAATGAATTTTTCGTATATTGAATTACCCTACAATCTTTCATAGTTAAACAAATGAAATAAACACAAAAGACAGTCCAATACAAAAATAATTAAGGATTTATCTAAGATTTAGATAGAAGAAAACGCAATAATAAATTCAAGAAATTGAATTCTTCAAAATTACGAGAATCACATCATATATTCCTATCAAATTAATGATGTGACTTCATAAAAACCATTAGATTAACACCAAGTTTCAATATTTGATGGGGTTTACAGTAGATCCAAAAATCATGATGAATTAGATTAACAAATTATATCAGTAAATTAAATCTCAATAGCATTGCTCAATAACTTGTTAAATCTTAGTCTTGATTGCCTCATTCTTGTTCTACGCTCTCTCCTTTTCACTTTATTTTCGTGAATCATATAGTTACCTTGCTTATATAAAAAGTGAGTAAAATATTGGCTTTCATCATAATTTTCTGGTAATGTGCGGTAGTTAGGGTCATGTTTAGGTGCCAAAAATTAGCACCTATCTACTTGGGATTATGAAATGTCGCTAGAGCCCATTAACAAATACAACTAGTCAAAAATAGCAACCTAAAAAAAAAATAATACAACAAATTAGAGATACTATCTTTTTTTTATACAAAAAATAGATATACAGATAAATCACTCTACATCTCTATCAAAGAGTATTGTCTCTCACCGTTTTCTAGTGACGTTGAAAAATAGGTTTAGTCTCAACAAGTGGCAAAGGGGCTTAAGGCCACTCTGAAAAAAAATTACTTATATATGTTTTATATATTTTTTTGGACAATTTCAATTGGGTCACCCTAATGACTTAGATAAAATAAAACTAATTGGGTCAAATAAGTTGGGTACATGGTAATAGAATTAAAAAAAAATAAGGACCAATCTCATAACAAATCTCTTAAAAGTTAGTAAACTTAAAAAAATGTTGAGTCCAAGGACGGAGACTTGGAGATCAAGAGAAGAGGAAAACATTTCATTTTCTCTACTCACTGCATCAAGTGCCTTTGTTGAGAGAGAACATCTTCAGTAATGAAGATTAAATTATGTAATCGAATAGATAATCATCGTATGATCGATAATTTGATTACTTATATAGAAAAAAAATATTTTTGATAGCATTAATAATGAAATTATCATGAAATGTTTTCAAAATATGAAGACTCGTCGGGGTTAATTGTAATTGGTTATAATTAGTCTCATTTTTTCGTAAAAATATATAATTAACCTCTTTTTCGTTTGCAAAAAATACATATATTGACTTTAGCCTTTTTAATGTTTAATCAATTTTTAAGTATCAAATATAATGTAAAAAATATAAATACAATTTCATATAAATAATGATAATTTGGTAAATATATTTGAAAATATGATGTTTTAATAAAACAATTAAAAATTTCTATAAATCGGGAAAAAAAAACCTAGGTATCAGAATCCGTCGATGGGAAGGGTAAATCAGTAATTAGGCATGGCCAAGGTTTTACTTTGTTGGGAACTAATTAAACTACTAAGTTTTCTTAAATTAAGTCCGTGAAATGGATTTAATAAGCTTTGGAATCCGCCGGGTCACACGCGCACATAGAGAGAGAGAGAGAGTTCTGGTGAGAGAAACTGAGAAACCGTGTGGTAAAAGCGAAGGATCTGAATTTGTAATCCATGGAAACTCCGAGATAAGGTGAGCCTAGGATCTCTTCATTTTCACTGAATTTAGTGCCGTGTATTTGTATAGATAATATATATATATATATGTGTTTGTGTGTGTGTGTGTTTTTATGAGTGTGGCTTCATAATTGTTGGTTTTGATGAGGTTCCTTCTTGAGATTCTTCCGTAACTCACCCTGTAATGTGTATGATGATTAAATTTAGGTCCTCCATGAGACTTCCTCAGCTGATTCAATGCATTTTTTCTAAAAGAATGTATGATTTGCTGCCTGTGTTTTATTTCATGTTGCTTTGGTGAAGGCTTAAGAACAAAGGTTCTGTATAAATATTTTGAAGAAATTTCTTGTTTTGTTGTGACAATATGAGAAATTGTTATTCTAGTGATTCTATGTGTAATTTTGATTGGGGGATTTATGGGCCTTTTTGGTTGTTTTTGGCCTTAGAATATGTGTAGTGTTGGAGATATAGTGGAAAGCTTTCGTCTTTCGGGCTCTTTCTCCGAGCTTAGAAGGTTCACAGTTGAAAAAATGGATATTTGATCATGTAATCTCACTTATGAAGAAGATATGAGAAGGAAAGGAAAAAAGAGGATAATGTAATGGCATACATAAAATTTTCATATATAAGGATTTAATACACATTTGAATCCTAATTGACTGATATCGAAGAGGCGATTCTTCTTCTTTTTTTTTTTTGCCTGGGGAAAAAGAATTCAAGTGGTTTTCCTAACCTCTTTTTTTTTTTCCTTTGTGAAGGTTTTACTTTTTCAAATTTATGAACATACATTGTTTCTTGCCCTAATTCTTGTTTGTGGCATGCTTTTTGCTTTAGAAAACTTGACTCAAGTAAGTTTTCCTGGTTAAAATTTGTTAGCTATAATTTCTTTTTCTTTTTTTTTTCCTCCCTTCAGTTTTTTGTTTGGTGTCCTTTTAGATTCTTCGTTTGAATCAGTTTGTGAAAGATAGTGGATAAGCGTTAATAAATAGCATTTATTGTCCTACAATGAGGTTTAAGAAGTGGGAAAGTGGTTTCTGATTTTATTTTTTGCTAAATAAGTTGTTTCTGATTAAAGCCTGGTATTTTAGACTATCTTTAGTGCTGCATGCGAGGTCTTCTTTTATGGGAATATTCTTTTCTTGCTTTGTACTTTTCTTTATTCACTTCTGTCCTTTTTTTACTTTGCTAATTTGCTATGCGGAAGAAATCGAACTAAGAAATGCATTCATTTGCAGTTATATTGTGGTGCTAATGTTGTTAATTTGAGGTCACCACCGTCAGGAAATTCTCAGAGCAATTCATACATCTCTACTGGAGAGGCCATATATATAAAATATTCAGCTGGGTGTGAGTGTACTTGGATTGGAGTAAATGTCATTCCGCAGCATAGCTCGGGACCTAAGGGACAGTTTTGGGAGCTTATCAAGGCGGAGTTTTGATGTGAGGCTGCCAGGCCATCACAGAGGGAAATCACAGGGTGCAGTCCATGAGTTGCATTACCACCCTGTGGTCATCCAGAACAGCTGTTGGGCTAGTCTTCCACCTGAGCTGCTCCGTGATGTGATCAACAGGCTGGAGACCAGTGAGACTGCATGGCCTGCTCGCAGGCATGTTGTTGCCTGTGCTGGTGTTTGTCGGTCATGGAGGGAAATGTGCAAGGAAATTGTAAAAAACCCTGAGTTGTCTGGGAAGATTACCTTTCCAGTCTCCCTGAAGCAGGTGTGTCCTTACTGCTTTATAGTCTTGCTTTAAATTATTTTCTAGATTATGTGTACTCAGTTCGGCCGCCATATTTGTTTACCATATAATCATTCGTTTGAGATATAGATACATGCATTCGGAGTCCAAGTGAGTCCTAATGAAGAGATTTCTATGACAGCACTATTTCATTTGACATTTTCCTAATTTGAATATCTTTTGCAGCCAGGGCCTCGGAATGGAACTATTCAATGCTTTATAAAGAGAGACAAAGCTACTTTAACTTACCATCTTTTCCTTTGCCTTAGTCCTGGTAAGTGTCCAATTTCCATTGATTTTTGCAGCCTTTCCTTGGGTATTGAATGGATCTTAAACTACTTCTCTCAGGCCTCAAGTTTTACTCTAAAATATAAATGAGTTGAGTTGTTTTTCCAGCATGTCTCCCCCCAAAACTCAAGAAAAGAAAAAAAAAAAACCAAAGTAAAAAGAAAAGCGATGATGATAATTAGCTTTGTAATGCAAGCTAAGATCATGCTTTAAGTAGCCCCCTGCACTTCCATCAAACTAAAAGTTCCCATAAACTTGAGCTTACTCTAGCCTATTGAGACATTAAGAAGACCAAGAAACTGAGCCTATATATTCACCTTCTGATGCTTGAGGATGTTTGCAAGGTTGGATTCCTGCTAGTTCAGTGTAAACTGGATCCAATTCTTTGTCACTCTTTAGCTGAATGCGAATCACAGTACTCTGGTTTAGATGTCTTCAAAAATCTCTGCCTTCTGTATTATACTGGCCTGCTGGATTGAGTGTGTTTTCTTCTGCAAACAGCTTATATTGAGCATTGTTCACAAAAATAAGAAACTTCCTTTTCTGTAGTGCTGTAATTTACTGAAATCCTTCCTCTATGTTTCCAAACTGAGTGATTGCATCACCTTGATTTGCACTGCATTTGGTCCTGCAGTGGGGTGCTGGTGCTGCTGTTACTCTAGACAACATTGAAAATATGATTTCGTTGCTCATTAAATTGAAGACAAAAACCAGCCTTAGGCTGACTAGCTGAATCAAAACTCATTTTTAAAATTGACCAAGTCAATGAACCTTGCAGGTTCCAATTCCATTGATGGTTCATTGTCCTTGGTATCATTTGCTCAGTATCTCCAGTTTTGTTGCATTCAATGCTTTGGATTCAGTCTTTCTTTGACTTCACTTACATTGATGTCTTTTATTATGTCTTACTGTCATCATTACCTGTTTTTGAAGCATTGCTTGTTGAAAACGGTAAATTCCTTCTTTCTGCGAAACGCATTCGAAGAACAACTTGTACAGAGTATGTGATCTCGATGGATGCAGATAACATATCAAAGTCAAGTAGCACTTATATTGGAAAACTGAGGTATTGGAACCCTTTGAACTGTCTTCTTGAACACTTAATGTTGCAGTATGCTTAAATTCTACATATTCCTTGTATTCATGACATTCTTAAGAACGTTTTGGATATTGGTAAACTCATTACTAAATATGAATGCTAAGCTTCACATATACTTGGAAGTTTGTCTCAATATATGTTTTATGAATGTTATGCACATCGCATTTAATTATTTCTTGAGGAGCCTCTTAGTTCCAGCATTTACCATAGAATTTCTTTATTTTTTGAGAGTAGATTACATATAATTCAATATATGCACACCCGCTGGTGTGCCTGGAGATGCAAGTGCAAGACAATGCTTGTCTAACTAGTTTTGTTTTAGATTTTGCTGCTTTGGATGTTGGCATGTGGCTGCTGGATTTTTTCTTTTATGGCTCTTGTCTCAAGAGGAAACAATTAACTGGATTTTTTCTATATTTTTTCTGGGCAAGGGGAGAGAGAGAGAAGGGGGGTGTCAAGAAATTAAAATTAAATATTAATATGATTGGTTGATTAAATTTGTTCTTTTTGGTATAGATGTCCAAGTTAGCTTTCTTAGTAAATGGTCTTTGTGGACACTGTATTTGTAATTCATGGAATCTTCTTAACATGTTAACAAGTATTATCTCATAGCTTAACTTAGCGATCGAGTCTCTTGCCACTGCGGTGTCTGAGAAGGGTTTGATGTATGCATCTTTACCCTTACAACAGAGAAGCTGGTTATAGAAATCAATTAGGGCAGCAAAGTGGCATTAGATTCTGTTAATATATGGTCTGGGGAGGGTCAGATGTGCAGCTTTACTCCTGCATATGGAGAGGTTGATTTTGTGGATCAGGTATCGAACCTGGTGACACCAAGTCACAAGGAAGTAACCTTATCACACTCAACTCACCAATTTACACAGGCATCCAATATTAAATTGGAAAGTTATAGACTTGAAACTATACCGGAGAACTATAATACTTTGGAACACACCAGTTATATGAATTGAGAAATAAAACTTTCTTTAAAGCATTATTTAATGTGGTATTTGATGTTTTACAATTTTATGCACACTTTACGTATTAGGATACCAGCCAAAGCTCATCTATGTATTGTTGTAAAACCTGCAATAAATAGCCATTTTGGGATTCGATGATGATCCATGATTATCTGTACTCTTTCCCTATCCCTTATTTGTCCCCCCCTAAAAAAAAAGGTGCAACTGGGTAATCCAATCATCTAGTTTGTTATCCTAATTAATTGGGGCTGTAGGCACTGATGCTCCATCTGTCTTTTTGGCCTTTCCTGTTGTTGTAGTTCTCCTGATGGCAACTAATCACCCTGACTGGTTTATGAAATGGTTCTTGCTGCATATGGCCAAACTCTTCCAAACAGTGAACAATTTTGGGTAAAATACTGTGACCCCCAAACTTAGATAACAATTTCAACCTAGTCCTTAAGCAAAATTCTTTATCAGGTTTATTCGTTATTCAAAACATTGTTCCGTGTGTTACATGAGAGACAGGTGTAAGGTATATAGGTAAATTTGGTCGTCCACCTGTTTATTTTTTTTTTTCCTTTGTCTCTTCAATTTTTCCTCCCCTTCCTCCCTGACCTGCCTCTTCAATCACTTCTCACCACTAGCCCCGACGAGCCCCACTTCCAACCCATGAAAACCTGCAAACCTCACCACCAGGCCTCAACTTACACATGCACAGCCCAGACCAGCAGCAGCCCCACAACCCATAGCACCATTAAACCCCCCTTCCCCCCTCCCCCCCTCCTCCCTTGCGGCCTAATTGCCCCCCCACCAGCACACACAGAACGTTTCCTATAAGCCCCACTGTTATACCCTCCACCTGCCTCTCATGTGACACATTGCTGTTAAGAAAAGAAACGGAAGGGGTACATTAAAAGAATGCTGAATTATAAGAAACAAAATTGAGAAAGAATTTTGTTTAAGGGCTTAATTGAATTAGGATTTAGGGGTCTAAATTTAAGGGCTACAGATGATGTTTTGCATTTGTTATTTTTCTTTTGTCATCCTCCCTTAGGCTTTGCTGTTAATGCTTGTCTAATGCTCCAGAATCTATACTGCTAAGAAAAAAAATCATGATATGAATACTTATGAAACCTGTTTCTTTTATAGAAATTGATCAGTACAGGTAATTAGAGAGCATGACAGTATTAGTTTTAGAATATTGTGTGATGCTAGTATCCTATTGTGTTTTTTTTTGGGTAAGTAGTTTTCTATTGTTGCCTTCATGGATAATATCTGATTTGTATTTTGTACAGATTATTAGCACATCTGCTTCATTGGAATCTTTTTCTCGTTTCAGGTCAAATTTCCTTGGCTCAAAGTTCCTAATTTATGATACACAACCTCCTTGCAACAGTGCTTATCTTTCCCCTCCTGGTCGTACAAGTCGTAGATTCTACTCTAAAAAAGTTTCTCCAAAAGTTCCTACTGGAAGCTACAATATTGCCCAAGTCACATATGAGCTAAATGTGCTGGGCACAAGAGGGCCACGCAAGATGAACTGCATTATGCACTCAATTCCCACCTCAGCCCTTGAGCCAGGTGGTTCTGTCCCCGGCCAGCCCGAGCTCCTTCCCCCGTCTCTTGAAGATTCATTCAGGAGTATGTCATTCTCAAAATCAATTGACAACTCGACTGAGTTCAGTAGCTCCCGTTTTTCTGNCGTCCACCTGTTTATTTTTTTTTTTCCTTTGTCTCTTCAATTTTTCCTCCCCTTCCTCCCTGACCTGCCTCTTCAATCACTTCTCACCACTAGCCCCGACGAGCCCCACTTCCAACCCATGAAAACCTGCAAACCTCACCACCAGGCCTCAACTTACACATGCACAGCCCAGACCAGCAGCAGCCCCACAACCCATAGCACCATTAAACCCCCCTTCCCCCCTCCCCCCCTCCTCCCTTGCGGCCTAATTGCCCCCCCACCAGCACACACAGAACGTTTCCTATAAGCCCCACTGTTATACCCTCCACCTGCCTCTCATGTGACACATTGCTGTTAAGAAAAGAAACGGAAGGGGTACATTAAAAGAATGCTGAATTATAAGAAACAAAATTGAGAAAGAATTTTGTTTAAGGGCTTAATTGAATTAGGATTTAGGGGTCTAAATTTAAGGGCTACAGATGATGTTTTGCATTTGTTATTTTTCTTTTGTCATCCTCCCTTAGGCTTTGCTGTTAATGCTTGTCTAATGCTCCAGAATCTATACTGCTAAGAAAAAAAATCATGATATGAATACTTATGAAACCTGTTTCTTTTATAGAAATTGATCAGTACAGGTAATTAGAGAGCATGACAGTATTAGTTTTAGAATATTGTGTGATGCTAGTATCCTATTGTGTTTTTTTTTGGGTAAGTAGTTTTCTATTGTTGCCTTCATGGATAATATCTGATTTGTATTTTGTACAGATTATTAGCACATCTGCTTCATTGGAATCTTTTTCTCGTTTCAGGTCAAATTTCCTTGGCTCAAAGTTCCTAATTTATGATACACAACCTCCTTGCAACAGTGCTTATCTTTCCCCTCCTGGTCGTACAAGTCGTAGATTCTACTCTAAAAAAGTTTCTCCAAAAGTTCCTACTGGAAGCTACAATATTGCCCAAGTCACATATGAGCTAAATGTGCTGGGCACAAGAGGGCCACGCAAGATGAACTGCATTATGCACTCAATTCCCACCTCAGCCCTTGAGCCAGGTGGTTCTGTCCCCGGCCAGCCCGAGCTCCTTCCCCCGTCTCTTGAAGATTCATTCAGGAGTATGTCATTCTCAAAATCAATTGACAACTCGACTGAGTTCAGTAGCTCCCGTTTTTCTGACATTGTTGGCCCACGTGATGAGGATGACGAGGGAAAGGATAGACCTTTGGTGCTTCGAAACAAGGCTCCAAGATGGCATGAACAGTTGCAGTGCTGGTGCCTTAATTTCCGTGGGAGGGTAACAGTAGCATCTGTAAAAAATTTCCAACTCATTGCTGCCACACAGCCTGCTGCTGGCGCACCCACACCAGCACAACCTGCCCAATCTGATCATGACAAGATTATTTTGCAGTTTGGCAAGGTTGGCAAGGATTTGTTTACCATGGATTATCGCTATCCTTTATCTGCATTTCAGTCTTTTGCCATCTGTTTGAGTAGCTTTGATACAAAATTGGCATGTGAATAGTAGGAACAGAGGATCTAGTTGGTAATGATTTTACTACTTGCGTTTCGTAGATTGAGAACTATTGTACGAAGGTGATGTATAACTAATTGTCAGACTGGAGAGTGCAGGATCAATACCATGCACATTGGAGGAGGATTTTCTTTTTCCTAGCGTTCTGTATTTTCTTTTTTGCATGGGCTTTTGTTTGGTTCCAATGGTTGTCAACGCGTTCTGCAACCATAGTTGTTCTTCATGTATTGAAAAGAATAGTTAAAAACTATTGTGTTTCTGTGTTTTTACTTGTATCTTTTGCCTTTGATTACTTCATTTCTAATCTGCTGTATATATATGCTTTTCTGTGCGTGTCCAGCCAGTAATGCACTATTTTTGGAACGAACGGAGGTTCATCCACTGCTATGTAGGCCTTGTTCTTTGTAACAGTTGTTTTAAGCTCTTGCAATTGTATTGGTTGCATTCTGTTATTAATAGGTGTCTGCCAGACTGCCACACTGCCATTCTGATTCTTCATTTGCCCATTCCTTGGCAGAGTCCTATTTATCTCAGTTTATGAATTGCTCAATCAAGTCCATCCTTGACCACAAAGGAAGGCGGAAAAAAGATTGATCAGGATGAAATACTTGGCCGAGTGAGCTTGAGCACGCTAAGATGACTTTGATTAATCGAATCAAGTCATAGCAGAGAGAATAGAAGATACTTGTAACTGTAAACAACTTAGTGCTTGGAGCTTGAGCCCTTTAGACCTGAATGTGTTTACAAGGTTATAGTTTCATTAACCTACTTGTTCACCTCATTATGCTTTGTAACAATTTTCCCAATCTCACTGCCAAGTATTTCTGAAAAATCCTTGTAGTCATTCTTAAAATAGGCTAGTAGAACTGGGTTGTGGGTTGAATATAAGGGTACAATCATCAACTCCTACACCCAAAGAAGAATTATTTTCTGAAAGGTCTTTCAATCCCAATGCAGATAATGAAGGGTATATCCATCCCATAAAAGAGAGAAAAAAAAAACTAAGTAACCAGCGCACAAATTTATGTAATTAATGCACAAGACTCTCATTGGTCTAACCTAAGTAAAGATGTGACCAATTTGTAGGGTAGTGAACAAACTTATTTCCGCTCGTATATCCATCCATACCATTAATAATTAAACCATAAAACTAACAAACACTTAGATTTTCCATTAGTATGACAAGCATGCCACTATGATGGAAAGGCAATATCAGACTGTTAAATAGTTCAAATGACAAAAAAAAAAAAAAAATCAAAAGAAAAAGAGACTTTCTACAACAAGTAATGTTGAATGATTTGAATTCTTCATCCACAACAAATTTGGACTAAACTTTATGCAAACAGTACTTGCCAAAACAAAGTCAAATTGATCACTGCCAGATGAACAGGTAAACCAAACAAAAGAATTTGTACAAGTATTATTGGTGAATGATCTGAATTCAACATTTTACAAACCTATTTCAAACAAACTTTACACAAAAAGATACAAACAGTACTTGACAACATGAAGCCAAATTGATCATTTTCAGACAGGAATTGAGCACTCACCTACATGTTTGCCACTTGACCAACTAAACAAAAACAAACCCAGTGATTTTGGTGCAGCTGCAAAGGCAACACTGATTAATAAGAGTTATCTCACAAGGTGCAGAGGCCATGGGTTGAAGGTGGTAATGGTTAAGCCATGGTGGGGCTCTCTATCATTGACAGACTTTGAGAAGTGAGCACTTCTGGGCGTCTAAACTGTATTCACCAAAAAACTGAGCTTCAGCTGAAACTGCTCTCTGTTCTCCTATGGTGGCATATAGATACACCAGCCTTCTTTGTAGGCCAGGTATCTAGGACAGATTCTGATCATTAGACCAGCTGACAAACAACCCCCCCTCCCCCCCCCCCCCC